ATGTACACAGGGTCAAATCATCCCCATTCCTTTCGTATTCCATTGTCAAGGGAGACGTTCCACTCAGACAGCTTCTTCCCCAGAACTGTTACTTTGTAGAACAGATTCCAGAGAGGATGCTTTCCGCATCACTACGACCTTAACTTCTTCAAGCCTAGGATCAACCGTTATCTATCCTACATATACCCTTAATATGCACTTTTTACTAACTCTCTTTATGCACTTACAACAGCATTATTCATTAACCCTCTATCTTGAATGGCTCTTGGACCTTGTATTGAGTGGACAATAATATAAAAATTACTTCCACAACAAAAGAAGAAAGAAAAATACGATATATGAAAACATGCATGTGTTTTTTTTAACTAATTCACCCCAAGCAAAGCGATAATGCCACTAAGATGCAAGGGGCTACTGGGAGTGAAAGAAAATGAAAAGACTTTGGAAGAGGCCGGAAATTCAATCCTAAACAGGAAACAAAGGTTAAACCTTTACCCTTGTTAAAAAGATCGGGAGTTGTGTAAACCGGGCGATAGGCGAATCTACCTACCCATATTGAAGAAAAAAAAATGAAAATTTCAGAGTTTAGACTGAGGCGTTAGAAGCATAAAGTAGACTTTAAATTAAAATCAGAGGTAAGATTTGCACTGGTCAAAATAAACAAAAACAAAGTAGCAGGGCCAGATGGGATTGTAATAGAGATGCTGTCAGCTTTAGATGATTTCGGGATCGATATGATTATCAAAATAATAATTGAAATATATGGCATATGTATCTGTTTTCATAGCGATGCCTAAGAAGTCATGTGCAAATGAATTCGAACGATATTGAACAATCAGCTTATTGAGCCAGATAACTAAGCTTATCAATAAGACTCCAATTAATAGATCTCGTAGAAGTATTAGAGCGGTAAAAGCAAAAATGGTGTAGCTTTGTTCAAGACACTGGAACAAGAAATGCTATGTTCATGATTGGAATGATATCAGAGCGAGCAGTACACATGCAAAAAGACCTCTACATATGCTTCATAGATTTAAGTTATGACCCAAAGACCTATTTCAATATATGCCGATAGAAAACGAGTTTAGTAAGTACACAAAAAGAGAAGAATGCGAACTGATCCTAGGAGAACTAGAATAACTACTATGATTTATTATCGGCGGACATAATCTCTTAACAACATAAGATACGTAGGTGACACTGTTTTGATAGCAAACTCAAGAAAGAAAACTGCAAGAACTCTTAGACAATACAGTAAATGAAAGTAAGAAGAAAGGACTATTAACTGCACGAGAATAGAATATAGGGTAGTTAGCACGAAAAACTCTTGGTAGGAGCTACGAATTTGAGACGTCCGAATCAGACACGTTCAGAATTTTTATCTATCTGGGCAATGTAGTAACACATAATGGAAAATGTGACACATAAATACGAAAGCGTATTGGAATAGCAAATACGCTTATTACCAGAAAGAAGCAGTTGACATTTTGGGGACTTGTGAGGAAAGAGGACTTGGAGAATTTAGCATTCACAGGGCATACTGAAGACAAAAAAAAAAAAAAAATCATCGAATGACCTACCAGTTGGATGCGTATGAATGTTAGAGCATAGACAAAGATCTGTGGCAAATAATCAAACGTTGCTTAGAGCTACAAGGGAAAGGAAGTTGGGGAGAGCCAATATCGTTGCCCATATCCTTAAGTGACACAGAATATAAAGGACGTTCACTTTATGATAACTTTAATCAAGAAAATAAACCAAAATAGTAAGAACTAAAAAGTGGATGATTCTTGTTATGACTTTCCGCCCATCAAATCAGTAATTTTTTCTTTACTCCCTTCTCTGTGCCATGTCCCATCAGGACGTGGGCAATCATGGCTCTCCAAAATTTCTTGTCCTTTGTAGCTGTTAGTAAAATTTGTCTTTTTTTAATATCTCACTTAATTTCTATTCTACCAACCATTTACACAAGCTCATTAGATAGTTTAAGCGCTGCTTTTCTCTGTCCCTCTTGCCCTCAATATGTCATGTGAATATCAAATTTTCTAATTGCTTTTTCCTCATTATGTGACCTTGAAATTTCAACTGTCTCTTTCTTATGCTAAATATAAGTATCCTCTTTGTTTTCATTTTCTTTAAAAATCTCTCGTTGCTCACGTGTTCAGTCCATGATATCGTCAGCATCTTTCTGTAGAACCACACTTCTGTTGCCTCAACTCTCTTCTCCATTGTAATGAGATTGACCGGCATCCATTGCCTTGTTAGAGGACCGATATTACATAACAATTCAGTACTTTTTTCTTTGTTTGTAACGAAATTTTCTTAATCCTTTGCTTAGATTTTGGAAGACAACTTTCCTTATCCCAATACCCCTTCGGATTTTTGTGCCATATTTTCCGTCCTCTGTTTAAACATTTCCTAGATATTTACATTTCTGTACTTGCTTGATTCGGGCGTCTTCAATTTGTAACTCGCATCTTGGGAAGTTCTTATTATTAACATCCACACATTTTTGTCTTCTTACAATTGATGTTTAGTACTTTCTTCTTACTTTCCTATACTTCTTTCTATAGAAGATCCTGTAGTTTCCTTTCTGTGTCTGCTATCAACACTGTTTCATCTGCATGTGCCATCAATAATAAATCCTGGTATGACTTATAATTATCATTATTATAATTATCTCAGTAAAGGTTGAATATGTCTGGTTAGAAGATATATCCTTGTCTTACACCCCTTTCTATTTTTGTATATTTACTGAATTCATTTTCTATCCGTATGCAGGTTGTTTGCTACCAGTATAAGTTCTGGATAATGCTAATACCCCTTCTAAATAAATCAAGCTTACCGAGCAGTTCGAACAGTTTTTGTGTGATGCACTTAATCAAGCGCTGATAAAGGAAAGTAATTTAGTTGGTTACAAAATTATAACTCTAATATTAATGAAAAAAACAGCAACAAAAAAAAAAAAAAACGAAAATGGTAAAAGTATTTTACTGTATACAATATGGTTAGGTTAGTTGGTACTGTTGTCTATCCGCGCGCGCAATAATTTAAAAATCTTAAATACGCCATATTTATATCTAAAAGAATTTTAATATGCACAAATATTGTAACTAATATGAATATTAAGAAATACATCCAACTGTTAAAAACAACAATTCAAATTATATTTTGATGTGGTAGTGTTATCTTACTCTCTATAGACGTTAAGTGTAAACAAAATTTTCATGACTACATCATATGTCCTATATTGTGTCATTTCCTTCCCACTAAAAAAAATTAATTGAATATGAATGATTCACTCGTTGCATAATCTTCCTACTCTAGGTTAAACCTTGAGATTTTAAAAAGTTAAGCATATGTATATATTTAAAAATGATGAAACTAAAAAGGTTCGTAAAATGTGCACTTTTGACTTTGAAAAAGTTTTTTTTAATATTGTTTGATGCACTTTGTTTTCTATTTTTCTCTTGGTAAAAGTTTGATTTAATAAAAATGAGTCAATATTCTTCTAATATGTGGTCTCCTTAATCCAAGTCGCCTAATATGTGTAATGATTGAAACAACAACAACAACATCATCAACAACAACAACAACATCAACAACAACAACAATAATAATAATAATAATAATATACCCTACCTATGAACACTAATGGGCAAGTCCCAATCCTCATTAATACGTTGGACACTATTATAAATGGGGGCAATATGCTGTCTAAGTAGTCCACTACTAGCAGTAGTTTACCTACTTCACGCCGCTGGTGAGTATTGCATTTTGTTGATGTTATAAAGATTACCATTACATTTCCAACCTCCGTTTTAGTTATTCCTCATTCAGCAAACTTTTCAACAAATAATAACTAGAAAGACCCATGAAAATTTCACGGTTTACCTATTTGAATTTTCTGATGAATCTTAATTCTTCAGTTAATGATTGAATAAGCCCATGGCGAGGCGAGTTCTATGACAATAAACATATCCGTACAAATTCCACTATCACATCGTTAAATATTTGAGTATAACAACTTTATGAAAATATTGAAATAAAAATCTATAAATAAGAATGCTGGTCGTTATTAGTGGGTACAAATAAAAATATTTGAAATTGAGAACTTTTTCCATTTCACTGAAACAGCCGTTAAACACTACTTTCTTTCTTTCTAACCAAATCCCCGTCTTACGAACATTTCTATTAATAATAATTTAAAAAATATTCAACAAACGATATTATTTTATTTATGATAAGTGTATTTTTGTCGATTGCCTTACTCGGTTTTCAGTGTTCGATACTGTGTGTCTCAAAAATGGTGCTTTTATCGCGATCACCATGGCTTCTCGGCCTTTTGGCTAAGTTCAAAACGTAGTACTTCTTATAAACTTAATCTGATTCTCTCTTTCCACTTATTTCTTTCTTTTTTCTTTGTTCCATTCTTTTCATTGAAACCAAGTAGTGTCTTTATCTCCTCTTTCCACGCAATCAAAATGAAATAGTCCATTATTTATGAGGTGTTGACAGGACGTAAACTAACGAATGGAGGAATAAGCACAATCATAATATACTCGAATAATAATATATCAATGAATATTGGCTAAACTCTTCCTCCTAAAAAAAGTCGACATCACATTTACGGAGGAATAGATAAGATAGTAATCCATGAATGTAGCAAACCGACTAGAAAAAAAAAATAGGCAAGTCCTGGGTAGCAACATGTATTGATTTGTTTTTTGTTTTTTTTAGCTTTATCAACCCTTTACACGTTATTTAAAGCAAGAAAATATATTTAGGCTGTAAGAATTTTTTTTGAGATAATAATGATTTAGTGATAGAAGTCTTATTAATTGGGATGGGAAGAAGAAAAAGTGCATTTCATACTTTTCCCAAGGGTATTTGCGCGCAAGTGAATATAACGAACACAACGGGAATTAGAACTCGGCTCTTCAATTAACAATTCTGAGTTATTATTCATTACACCACATGCATATCCACGCTTACCTTAATCCACAAGCGGACCCCCATCGAGGTACTGACCAGACTCAACGTTGCTTAACTTCGGTGATTGTACGGGAAACGGCGTTTCACTGTGATGTGGCCGTAAAGCCGGGGTAGCAACAGATATGCTTTGTAAGGGATTTCGACTATAGACAGATGGTATTAACACAAACCAGTGACTATTCTTCAAAAAAAAAAAATCACAAGACAGTGATTTCTAAAAATCCAAAGCGACTATCCAATCGAATCAAGAAGACCATATCTAATAATCTAGCCTAAAGAAAAAAATATGCCACATTGGGGATGTGACTGTATCAGTAGAAACAGGTGGAAAATGAGAACTTTTGAAAATATCGTGCGCCTTTCTTGAGAGTTGAGAGTAATATAGAATATGAAGATGAAAGTTGTACCCATAATAATAGGCGTATTTGGAAGTGTGTCAAAAACATTGGTCTTGAGATTGGATGAGTTAGAAATACGAGAAATACTTTGAGAATAACGGGAATGTTGCTGAAGATTTGAAGAGATTAGACGTCACGTCTTCATTGACCATCAGGCATATGGCAGGAACATGCAAATTTACGAAATAATAATAATAATAATAATAATTATTAATATTATTATTATTATTATTATTATTATTATTATTATTATTCGTGTGTGTTATGTTTCCTGCTTTCTTTCCTGTAAAGCCGGATCCAAACCATGGTCCTGAGGCACTATAGGAGAATTGTCATTTAATTGATAGCACTTTTCTTAGTATGTCGGATGTTCCTGGTAGAGCGATCTTCTGAGAAACTTGAGTGCTGATGTTACCTGGGACACAGTTAATAAAATTGTACATTCCTTTTCCCATGAGGACCGAGCTCCGATTACTACTGGTACTGTCTCAGTCTTCATTCCCCACATCCTGTTGAACTCGATGTCCAGGCCCTTATATTAGGACAATTTCTCAATAATAATAACAATAATAATAATAATTATTATTATTATTGTTGTTATTATTGATATGGTGGTCTTTGCAGATTGTATATTTGATGATCTTCAAAACACTATCAAAATACAAGGATCTTGAAGTGGAAATCTCAAAAATATTGCACATGAGGACATCAATAATTCCAGTTGTATTTTCCTGCTTTCGGATAGATGGGAAAAGGTTCCGACAGACTCATCGAAGGGATTCCTGGTAGCCCATGCCTTAAAGAAATACAAAAATATTATATTTACAGGTACAGCTCACGTATTACGAAGAGCTTTATCTGTGTAAAATGTGTGTGATCTTTGTTTTGTTTTTTTGTTTTTTACGAAAATTCTCAGTGAAGAATGTCATGAAGCCATTTATGACATTAGGTCTCTGGTTGGGACCCGGAAAGAAATGCGTATACAACAGAAATCAAAGTAAATAATAACAATAGTAATGATAAAAGATTTCAAAAAAGGAACCTGCCAACTAATTGATATGACTTGCCCACAGGATTCCAATGTTTCTAAAAAAAAAGAATTTAAAAAATTAGATTATATCGACCTGAAAATCGAAATAAGAAAAATATGGAAACATAAAACTCCGACTATTCCTGTTGTGATAGGGGCATTGCGTATGATTAAGAAGAGTGCCGAAAATCGAGTAAAATTCTTGGACACATCAGCATCTCAAAGCTACAAAAGATTACTTTGTGCAGAACTGCACATATCATCCGCAAAATGCTTTCCGTCTAAACGTTCCAAATGTGCATAGATAAATCTCCTGCAGTGCCATTTCTACTCATATACCTCGGAGGGGACTTGGTATTTAGGCACTTAAAATTACTGTCAGGCAAGATGATACGACACACAATAATAATAATAATAATATTGGTATCCAAACTTCACTCTCTTGCTTTCCAAAACGAGACATATAAGCCTACCGAGAAAGTTTGACGGAATAATTTTGTTTGCATAAATGTGTCATTATATTTAAGTATGTTTTAACATATACTTGCATTGTTCTTTTCTATTCAATGTCCTTGTGTATTAGATTGTTGGGTAATCGTTGTTTTTTTTTTTTTTTTTTTTTCTATACTGTCATTGTTAATTGTATCTTTACACCAAAAAAGTCCGGAAATTAAGGGACAAATTTCCTTAAATCTTCAACACTCTCTTCACTACTATCACTAATTTAAACAGTGCTATTGTCTGCATTCTTCGTCAAATATTTAACTGTTAATATCCTAAATCCTTAAAAAATACCTTAAATCGGTTCACAGTGTTCCAATGATTATGAATATGGTTGTTACCGCAAGAATCCACTATCTTTGCTAACCTCACTCTATTCTCTCGTTCGCTTTCTGTACCTGGATACGAGTAATGATAAAACCAATATTCATTAGGATGATAATAAATCGTGTTATTTTTTGTTGTTTCAACTAAATGTATTAGCAACAGAAAAAGATGAAAAATGAAAGAAATAAGAAACATAATAAATTACACAGCACTTATTTCGATTAACCGCGTTACTTCGCTACTTATATGAATGTAAAACAAAAGTGTCTCGACAATAATATGAGTGACAGGCATTGTTTATTATTTACACTTAATTTGTTTACATAATACACTGACTACAGTTTGTGTCAATTGGCAATAATTTTAAGTAAGATGACAAAACAAGTAATCAAATAATCTCTGAATATCGATGCCAATAAGAAACAGTCCTTGTAATAGTTGCACGACCAAGCAAGCAATCATGAAAAGAAAAACCTGCCAATACGTCAACTTTTGTACATATATATTAAAAGATACTACATTGAAATCAAATATGAATTTTCTCAAAATCGACATCCACACGAGTGATAGATATGCAGCTATTAAATAATATAGAAAGTAAAGCGTAATCAGGAGCATTGGAAATATGCTTGAAAAGTGTTCTCTTCGAAAGAAAGAAATAAAAAAAAATAGTTTTTATAGCGGTTTTGCTCCAAACTAGAAAGTCTCTAGTCGAAAGACTCTAGTCTATAAGAAGTAAAGAAATGTAGCCAAATGGTTTACGACCAAGGTCAATCAATAAAAACAAAAGAAATGGAAAATCTTCTTTTATATGTCATGTCCCTTGTTTTATTGCTCTATGTAAATTTTGACCTTTTACCATACACCTTTGTCTTTGTTCTGCTATCCATTCACGCAAACTCGTTACGTAGGTTACTCACTGATTCTCTCTGCTTCTTAGAATGTCCTGTAAGTGTTAAATTTTCCTCGTTATGTATCCCAGAAATTTTAACTGCCTGTTTTTAATTAGAAGGTTCTTTGTAGTTCCTATTTTTTTAACCTTCTTATTGCTCACATGTTCTGACAATGATTTTCTTAGCATTCGTTTCTCCTCTTCTTGCTCCTCAGTGTAAATCACGTCTCTAGCGTGAGCGATCATTGGCGACGTCTTCCTACCTCCCAATGTCAGTGTCCATCGCCTTCATGTCCCTTTTTCAGACGTCTTTCAGGTGAAGATGAGGTCGTCCCCGTACCCTTTTACCGATGGTTAGTTCCCCGTACAGAAGGACCTTCGGAATTCTTCCATCCGGCATACGGTGTATATGTCTAAGCCAGCGGGGCCGGGGCTGCTGGATAAAGGCATATAGGCTGTGTAACTGGGCACGGGTGAGAACTACAGCATTGGTGGCCCAGACAGACTAATTGATGCGTCTCAGACAGCGAAGATTAAAGGCGCTGAGACGTCTTTCCTGTCTGGAGTTGAGGACCCAAGTCTCGCTGTCGTAGAGCAGCACGCTGACGACCCATGCCCTATAGATTGCAATTTTGTTCGTATTAAGCTTTCTGTTCTCATAGACTCTCGAGGTCAGCCTAGCAAACGTGATGGCAGGACATCCGATCCGTCTGTTAACCTCAGTGTCTAAGAAGAGGGTGTCTGAAACGATGGAGTCGAGGTATGTAAATTCATGAACGACCTCCAGGTCGTAGTTGTTGATTTTGATGGCGGGTGGCTGTTCAACGCTTTGGCCCATCGCGTTGGCTTTCTTCAGACTGATGATCACACTGAACTCTTGGCAGGCTTTTGAAAAATTGTCCATTAGTCGCTGCAGTTGCTCTTCAGAGTATGCTGCCAGCGCGGCATTATCTGCGAACAGTTTGTCTCTAATGAGCACCTCATGGAATTTACATTTAGCGCTCAGCCGAGACAAACTGGACAGCCTTCCGTCTATCCTTGTGTGCAAGTAGATACCATCAGTTTCATCTGAAGCTCCGAACGCACGCTTCAGCATTACCACGAAGAAGATGCTGAATAAGGTAGGTGCAAGCACACAACCTTGCCTCATACCTCTGCGTATATTGAAAACCTCTGAATAAGAATCGCCAAATTGTACGACACCCTTCATATCCGCATGAAACGACTGGACAATCTTAGGGATTCTCGGAGTACAACCAATCCTGTCGAGTATCTTGAAGAAGCCATCCTTGCTCACAAGATCAAATGCTTTTGTGAGATCAATAAAGGCAATGTACACTGTTTGTCTCTGTTCTTGGCATTTCTCCTGTATTTGTCGTAAGGAGAAGATTGGGTCAATTGTGAAACGACACGACATGAAACCACACTGTGATTCAACATATACCCTTTCAGTGAGCTTCTTTAGTCGACCGAGGACCACACGTTACTGACGATGTTCTGCAGGGGGATTCCACTGTAACTGTTGCCATCGTTTCGATCACCCTTATAGGTTGAGAAGCTGCCTGTTTTGCAGTTCCTCATATCTTGCGGTGCCGTTCAATCCTCCCAGCATTGACAGAGTAGACTCATCATGTGGTCAAGTAGCACACCTTTTGCACACTTGATGGCCGCTAGCGGAATGCCATTCAATCCTGGTAACTTTCCCGTGTGTAACTTGTCAATGGCTCGGTGTAATGCATCCACTTCGGTTGAAGTCTGAGTTTGCTGCAGCAAACCAGGAAGTGATCCGTGTCACAGTCTGCGCTCTGAAAGGACCTCATCATGAGCACGTTTCTCAGGAATCTGCATCTGTGAGGATCAAATGTAGCCGATGCTAGTGTTTAGAGCGGGGGTGTCGCCAGGAGACTTTGTGTTGGGCTTTGGTCTGAAAGTATTCGTTGGTGACGCATAGGTC